GAGTGATTACCAGGAATGCTGCAACTACCTTCTGATTAGTTGCTCTGTCTTCAGAATGACATTTTCAAAGAGAGAGATGGGTATCAATCAAGTGATCATATTAATAAATGTAATATTATAATAACTATCCGTACTGTGAATAAAATGTGCAACTGCTATCAGAAAGAAGTTGTGTTCTGAAAAAGCCATAAAGGATAGAAGAAGAGACGGCCTTGCAAAATTCTAACAAATACCCCACTTATAAGCCTTTAGTGGTTCGCACTCATGTTTAGAAGTAATCTCAATCTAATAATCATTGCATTAGAAAGGCCTCAACTAATCTGCTAATAAAAAAAGGGAAAGAGCTGACATTTCTTTATCAGACATGTTAAGCCTTTTGCTGATTTGCATGTTTTTAAATACTCATGTTCTATGAGTAAAAGTCATTATAATGCTTAGTCTATGAATAAGTTCCATTTTACAGAGGAGCTAATGGAGATCCAAAAAGATGGAATGAACTGCCTAAAGTCACATGGCTGTTAAAAAATTTAAAGAATAACCCAAAGAAAGAAAACAATGAAACAGAGGATAAAGGATAAATAAAAAGAGGATAAAGAACATGGTTGGGTTCTAGAAGATGACAAAACCAACTGAAACTCAAGACAGGAAGACAAATGAAATGCATGAACGTTGGCAATGTTCTATATTTATTCACAAAGAATTTAGGAAATTAAGGGGAAATAAAACCTAATCTCTGTGCATTGCCAAGAAAAAGTGACATCTAGGTTCCTTCAATTTCACTGCTTCTGGACTACTAGGGCTAAAGAGAGTACCTATAATTAATGCAGCCACCAAGAAGCCAAAACGCCCAGGGATGCAAGGCTTCCTTATAAGAGAAGACAGATGGAAACAGTCCTGTCATTCAACAAGAAAGAAAAAGAACAAACCAGCTACCAGATCTTTAACTACTGCTTGTGGCAATGAGCACAATGTAGAGATAACCAGCAGTAAAGTTTCAGTTTGATTTTGCCAAGGTTACTTGGTCCCCTGATGTCCTAGGACTGTCCTCATTTTTCAACCTACTAGGAATGGTTTGTTGGTAGTTCCATCTATTATCACCACAATTTCCAGATAAAGCATGTTAAGATACAGTGTAGGCCCACTGGGTTTATTGATTCGTGCCTTATTATTTCTGTACCCCATTCCTACTTCTCTACCTCCCATATTTAAGCATTTATGTGAGATAAAGCACACACATAATCTTCTCTAAATGTTTTCGCATTACATATTAGTTTTGTGTGTGTCTTAATATACATAAGCGCTATCATGACATATATTCCCTTGTTTCTGTGTCATATCCTATTTTTACATCCATGCTCATTTGAATACACTTACTCCACTGTTTTTTACAGTGCCTACAGTGCTCATAAAGTTACTATGAGCATTAAATGAGAGAATAAAGTACTAACCACAGTATTTTGCACTTACCAAGTAAATAAACACTGATAATCATCATATTCCCCACCCAGTAAGAGGTTTCCAATTTTCCAGTAGATTCTGAATCATCATATTGGAAAGTCAGTAGAGCTCACCCTTTTCAGAAGGAAGAATTCTAAGACTTGACCATTTTTTTGTAGAATGAAACTCCTATAATGGGTAACTTTTGCCCCAGGTCTCTCCATTGAGTAGGCCAAAACTTTGTCAGATTTCCTTGTTATCCAATCCTGTTTCCTCACCATTTCATCTTTCACAGGCATTATTCCCTCCCCCAATACACTTTCTGCATCCTGCACCCCTAATGCCATCTCAAACTCTGTTGCCAGGAGGATCCATTTACACGGTAAAGAAGGTATTAAATAAGTGCCTCTGGTTACCATGTGATCATTTGATTTTAGGAATTAAAAGGAAAATGTACTGCTGGATTCCTGACATATGAATACCTGGGTTTTAAACCATTTATTGAGACAAAAGCACCATCTTTATTAACCAAAAACCACAGGGATCCTTAAAGCAACTGAGGAGCACTGGTCTATATAGTCTGTTTTGATATGTGATCCAGTGTCTGTGGAATACTAAACATTTATCCTATGCAAGCTTGGAAGAGTTCCCTTTGGTGTTCTGTCAATATGCTATAATTTTCTAAGCATATGTATTAGCTAAGAATATATTCATCATTAACTGGGTACTTTAAAAAATATATAAAGCCAGGCTCATTTTTCATAAATACTTGAAATCATAAGAGTATTTCATGATTTCTCCTCTCAGACTTGAGATCACAAAATTGGCAACTGACATTTGGAGGAATTAATAATACGCAGATTGCACTTAGTCTTTAGTTAACTAATGGAATTTCAGAGCAGAAAATGACCATATTTAAAAATAATAAGCCAAGAATTACAGAATTAAAAGAATCTTAGGTTGATATGATTCTTTTTGAAGATGAAGAAACTTGAAGGTCAGAGGATGGGTCAATATGTCAGTGTAAATTGCTTTAATTTAACCTTCAGATTTTGTTTAAAATGGCAAGAATTTGGATGCATGTAATGTGTTACCACGAACTGTCATTTTATAGCATTCTTAATCTATAAACATAATGGAAACCAGTGTAAAGCAATGTCTTAACCAGGAGTGATTTTACTTCCCCAAATACATCTGACAACATCTATAAACAGTTTTGCTTGTCACAGTTGGGGGTGAGGGGGTGCTACTGGCATCTAGGGGAGAGAGAAGCTTGGGTGGCTGCTAAATATCCTACAACCAGACAACCCCTCTAAAACAAGAAATTATAGGATCTTAAAATGTCAATAACGCCAAGATGGAAAAATCTGAACTAATGTTCTTATATGCAAAATTTTCAGTGTCCTGATTGTTTCATTGAAAACAAAAGGAAAGGGAAATATTCTCTCCACAAACCCAAGGTGATTTTTTTTCTTATGTACTAAA